ACTCCCCCTCTGACTCAGAAAGGCTACGACCCGACCCTCCAGGCTGACAAAATACCTAACCCAACAGGAGACTCCTCCTTCTCCATCGAACAGACAGAGAACCAGAGCTGAAAAGACAAAAACCAGAACTGCAGCCAGAACTATCTCCACCTGTGGCATCCAGAACCAAACAGCATGCTGACATACAGAGAGATACTCTCATCAGTCCCTCAGACAGGACATGAAGTTCCAAGCTGAGCCACGAGATTTGGCTCAAGAGCAAAGTGTGGGACATGAGAGTGGAATCCGCCCTCCATCAAAACAGCGAAGACACTGTAAAGGAGGAGATGAAATGCAAAGCAGTACAAGAACAGTGGCATGATGTGGGCTGCAGACGTAACTGGGCCAAAGGCTGCCTAAAAGAGTTACAGCGGATGGATTCAAGAGCTGATGGACTGAAGAGAAGACAGAATCAGAGGAGTTGGCATGGTCGATTGGAAGTGAGGAGGCCGGGGTCACGGCTTGAGACAAACAGAGGAGGAGAACAGGAAAACGGGAATGAGTGAGTTTACACATAAACACACTTATTCACAAACGCACATAAAAGGGACCACATTTAAAGAACTTGAATTGACTTAACCTGTTCCACTCTGAGCCTGTTTTTCAGGTCTCAGGCTCGAAAATGACATTCCCAGAACAAATGACCATATCTTCCCTTCTAAAAGGGTTAAATTAATAATCTTTTCTCAAAGTAATGATAAACCTGTGAGTTGGATGTAGAAGTGTCAGAATCAATATAAATGTTTTTTATTTTAAAGAAAATTCAGATTTTACATAGTAAAAAACTGTAAATTATAGTGTCCGTCCAAAAATTATTTTTTACAGATAGTGAAAACTACCCTTGGATGATGGGTTAGTAGACTAAAAGCTTTAGGAATCCAAAGTACAACATATAATAAGTACCCTGTATCAAGATTGATGCAAAACAAGTGAAATTTGACCTTTTTAGAGAGATTTAGCCAAAAACTGGGCCATCTGGGGTCATTTGGGTGGATTTGACCTATCTCTGGCCCCCCTTGCTCGATCTGGTTGGTTGACATACCCTTGTGACCGTTAGAGCCAATAGAATCGAAGGAGGATACTTACATAGACACACATTGTAAAGAAAAAATGTTGCCGCTTCGCGTGTGGAAAGCGAAACTAAACTGGAGGAATGTCTCCTTCTGGAGTTTGGAAACTAAAACGCAGTTGTATTGCTTATGGATTATCAGAAATAATTTCAAAGAAGGCACAGACACATAGGATGAACCTATGGATTAACTGCAGCATCGTTTTTTTATCGTTTTAATGCCATTGAAGACCACTTTTGACCAAGGTAAGATATATTTACGTGTTTAGCTTCTTAGCTCCACATGTGATGATGTACGCTTTCGTTGATAGCGTCGCGAATGTTTATCACTGAGTGTTGAGGTGGGCACCGTTAGATTCAGTGTCTCCAGGACACCAAAAAATAGTGTTTGGTTGTGCATCTAGGATAAGTAATAAGGGAGTTCTGAGTGAGTTTATGTGTCTTTGTCGGTCCCGTTTTTTCGATCGAGGCTAATTCAGAGGCTGAGTGCTAGCATTGTGGGTTTTTTTTGAAAAAAAAAATTAAAAAGATCAGTTAGCTGAGTTTCTTCCCGTTACATGGATATAACACATTCATAGTTTTATTCAATATTAAGATTCCTTAGACGTTGTTTCCTGCAAATGACGCGTTTATCCGCCCGGTACCGGGGGGAAGGCGTGAAACAGGTTAATAAATACGTAAAGACAAAAAGATGTATTAACCATGAATTAATCAATTGGTAAATTAAAATAGCAGTAAAGAGGAAACTATTAAAGTAAAATGAGAAAATAATCCTAAAACACACTGAGGGATAAAGGGGGAGACATGATGGAAACATTCACTAAACTTTAAGCAGTGGGTGTTTTGGAGTACAGAGTAGAACATATTCTTCAATCTTTTCATCATGTTAACAAATTATTCTTTAAGAGATTTTTATTCATGTGTGAATAAAGTAGTGATCTCATTTGTTACAATATTGATCACCATTAAAGGGATGGTTTTAGGTACCACTTTATAAGAGTAGACACCTTTATTTGTATGGATAATGTTAAAGGGAGAGCTAGTGCCAAGCCAAATATAGTATTCCAATCTAAAGTATTGGTTTCACCATTGTAGCATAGTTATCACCACAGGAGGGCTTTAAGATGGAAATATGAAATGACTTCTGTTTTTAAATCCTTGATAAAGGAGGGAGTAATTGCTGCATGTTCGGACACCCAAGGTTCCACACACTGCTAAAGAGGTTAACGTTGTTTTTTTTGTGGACCAGAATTGAAGATAAATTAGTATAATGAGTTATGAAATTCATAGCAGAGCCACACAGATCCTAGTAATGTTTTGACTCAAGATAATAGTTATGTACACAAGTTTCTGAAATAGATCTATAAGACATTTTAATACTAATTAGGTGTAAATAAACAGCAGTAGTAGTACTATAAGGAAGTGAATGTTGTACCAAGTTTCAGGAAATATGGGAAGCAGAAGTCCCAATGAAAAGTTAAAACCATCTTGAAAATTATAGTTGTAATGGTGAATGAATAAGGAATGGCGCTCCGCATATGACATATTTTGGTAGATAAAGGGTACCTGCCTATGCTGAAATATCTTTGAAAAGACTCTGCAGAGCACGACATGGCCAAAAGACCGAGACCAAATGACCTATGACCCTGACTGACAATGCGACAAAAGCATTGTCAATGACTGACTCTGGGGTGTACCTGACCAAACCTGACTTGACAACCAGACCGTGTGAGTGTGAATGAATGCCGGCATGTGATCAGTGTAACTCCATGATTCTAAAACAATAACTAACCAAGAATGTTTTTGGACTAACATATTATTTTGGAGCTCCAAGGGAAACGAGAGATTTCCTAAAGATTCCACAAAAAGGGGAAACCGCACAGGTGACCCGTTTCTAATCTACTTGATGATATTTTACTCCCACAGGAGTTGGCGGTTTGCAAATGTAAAACTGAAACTAAAATCTGAAGATTCTGTTTCTTTTAGGACTGACAGACGGAGAGAAACACTTATTTTCACTGAAGTGTTTACTGTGGAAAGATAATAATAATAATGGATGTAAAATTGTAAATAATGTTCGCTATGTCCCTAACCAATATTTACCTGAACGTTTTCTCCCCCCCCATTACAGGACTTTTGTTACACATGAGTTCATGTGTAAAAAGGGGGGAGTGTGTATAATGTATAATGTCAACATGGCTGTAAAATTCACAACTTACATTTTTCTTTTAGGGATTGAAAGAAACCTTCCGCCCCAACCCAGATGTTCAAACTAAGCATTGAATGATAGTTTTAGAATGAACAGATACACTCAGGAAATCATTCACTCTGACAGCATCATGACTTTAGTTGTTTTTGAATCCATAATGAAATTGTATTACATAACGTTAGTGTGTGTCTTTACCACAAACAGGAATAGTTCATTGTTATATTTAGATTTGAGAAAGATTACAAGGATTTTATTTAGGAACAACACAGATGCTCATCAGACATTTCCGAGCTATTGAAATATGTTATGTAGTTCACCATGAAGATGTTTTATTTTGTTTGTAACATATGCCAAGTAGTAAGATTCAGATATCAGCAGGTTCTGAATTATTATTCCTCTGTCCCACAACCAACAAGAATGTGGATGGGGAGAACTATATCTGCTATAACCAGCAGAGATTCATAAATTACACCAGAGACACAGTAAAAAGATGACAGAAACAGTTTGATAGAAACAGACCGATAGAATGGCGCTAGACATTAGTTGAAAAAGGGGGTGTATGACGAAAACTGAAGAGGATAAGATTGTTCAAATAAAGAGTAATATTTAGCTATTTTCAGATAGTTTAGAGTTAGACATTTTTCATACCAAGCTAATTGCTGCTATTTTACGAAGTGACATTAAAGGTTTAAGCTAGAAGTTATGCACAATGAAAAACTTCATATTTATGATGAATATGTATTGTTCCTACTATTTGTATTTTCTACTTTTATGAGTTATGTACTATGCAATGTTCAGATGAAGAACTCATTGATTTCAGTATTATTTACATACCTTAAAAGGTATATAAGGAGGGATTGTAAGAAATTAAAATCAATGTTGATATGGCGTAATTTGAATTAAATACACTGTATTTAATTTAAATCTGTTTATTCTAAAAACCGAATATTCACAATGACTTCCGGTTTTCCGCTAGTGAATTTCGTCATTTCCGGTTAGCATTAGCATGTGGCGAAATGCTACGTTTTTAAACCGTGAATTGAAGGTGAAGTGACGTGATGTTGTACCCTAAACACACTGGGTTTAACACTCATTGATTTGACGCTGAAATCACGTTTATTAGGGAATGTTTAAATAACCACAGACATCAGAATGATGTAATTTAGCAACAGAAAAAGGCAGGAATTGCATTGGACCCGCCCCCGTCGACGCCGGCCAATAGGAGAAGACCACAGATAATGACAGGAAGAGCAAGCCAAGAATCGATCTCTTCTTCTCCTGACCTCGGCTGACGGACGCATGGGGAGAGAGCCTCCATGTTTGTCTCTCCGGTCTTCCTCCATGTTTATCACGGTCAGTTTTTGTGTTGTCGTTTTCTTTGCTACCGTTTCAAGTTATGCCATGTTTTGTCTACCAGCTTTTAAATAAAGCTCGCTTTTTGTTTCAAGACCTTTTTTTCAGTTTTTGTAGTCTGCATTTCGGTCCTACCTTTTTCCGCGATCTTACAGAGATCGTAACAGTTATTAATGAATATAAATGAGGTTCAATTACAAAGTGAACATGTGAGATCTCCAGCAGTAACAGAGAGTCAGTGAACTGACCTGAGAGTCTCCAGTCTGCAGTCTGGACTCTCCAGAAGATCTCTCAGCAGCTCCACTCCTGAATCCTGCAGAGCGTTCTGACTCAGGTCCAGATGTCTCAGATGGAGGTTGGACTTCAGAGCTGAGATCAGAGCAGAACAGCTGATCTCTGTCAACATGCAGCCCCTCAGTCTGAATAAAGAAAACATGATGTAAGTTTAGAAAACAATGTTCCTGTTTGAAATAACTCCAGGTTTAATAATCTGTTCAGAGTGAAACAGGGTTTTAATGTCAGAGATGATGCAGAAACAATCCACTGATAATCTGGAACTTTAACTTTGATCAGATGTTGAACAACTCCTTCATCTCCCTCACAGCTCATCAGTACTGACAGCATCTCCACTGACTCATGGAGCACAGAGTGAGTCTGTGGAAGCTCAAACACTCTCCCTCACACATTCACCTTCTCTTTGTTACTCTGATCAATATTCAGTCATTAGCAAAAACGGAACAAATAACAATAACATTGTATTTGTTCATATTCAGAAAATCATAAACACAAACAGATCAATATGAACTGCAGTCAGTGAACTGACCTGAGAGCCTCCAGTCTACAGTTTGGACTCTTTAGTCCAGAACTCAGCAGCTCCACATCTGAATCCAGCAGTGGGTTCTCACCCAGGTCCAGATCTCTCAGATGGGAGGGGTCAGACTTCAGAGCTGAGAACATGACTTCACATTCAGTCCCTGAGAGTCCACAGTTAGTAGCAAGTCTATAATAAAACATATATTACAACATGTGTTAAAAAAGAGGAAACATTATATTAACCTCAAGCATTTGATGAAAAAAGATTTGACATGTTCTGAAAGACATTTGCTGTTAGTCCATGTAATATAATATATAATAATATATGATAATAGAGTGTAATGAGTTGTCAGTGTGATCTGATCACATGTCTGTGCTCCTGCTGTCACTGACTGTTACCAAAAGAAACAGAAATTAAATGAATCACTTGACAATATTAGAGATGTACATATTTAAATGTTAGTTAATATGTGGATGTGAATGATGGATGAAGGATGCTTTGGCTTCTCTGAGCAGCTGAACATTTATTGCGCACACAAACACAATTAACAAACCAATAAAGTTTCAATATGTTCAACTTGATAGCATCAGATGTTCCCAGTATATCAGCATTAAGACATAACTCTGTTATTGGTGGGAAATGATATAGATCCGATTTTAAACTCTAACACATTGTGATCAAAACGTGTTTAATGATAAAGAAACTACTAGAAAGTAATCATTAAAAAAAGGGTTGTTGCTTCACTTAAGGTTTGGAGGGAAGTCTGTCGTAATCAAAAACGATATGAAGATGTAATCTTCTTGAAAGAAATGAACTGATCAAGACTTCCCTCCTCACAAACTGAACAAAGACCACCACATGTTGAAACTATGGGCTTCTAAGGGCTTGAGGACATTTGGACAAATGTTCGGTGATAAAGACGTGAAGTCCTTTGAACAGCTTTCGTTACAATATGATTTACTCAAATACCATTTATTCACATTCTTCCAAGTGAGGAGTTATCTTTCCGGCATTTAAAAAAAGAGATATTTTCAAGACATCAAGCCATTAATAAAATACATGCTTACAGTTTATGACCCTGGAGTGGAAACAACATTTCTAACTATGATGGTTAAAATATTACAATTAAAAAATCAAGATGAACACAGTATTATTAATGTAACAAATACATGGGGAAATTAATGATCCTGCAATATACCAGTAGCAGATTGGGAACTAATGTGCAGAAACATTCATAACACAACCAACTCAAACTACTGGAAAGAAAACACATGAAGCTTTTAATTCCATACTTTAAGACAGGGATGGGCAAATGGCGGCCTCTTTTTGCGATTAATTTATAAACAACGTAATTAATAAAAATAAGATTATTTTTTATTTTTTTACTTGTAGTCCTAGTTACGTTGCGAGCTGCGTACATGATTTCGTTCGGCAGCCAAATACCGCAAAATAATCTGTGACGCATTTGTGTGTATTGTGTTTGTTTCCCGGGGAAACACTCACAAGAAACACCGGCTGTTGTTATGCCTGCTGTGACGTTAAGTTACCGCTTGTAATTATGCCTTTACAAGCTTCAAGGTTGTATTTATCATCTGAATTTGGCGAAACAAGTTTAATATTCTAAAAACCAAGACTTTGTTTATTTGAAATCAGATGAAAACAAACTGTCACGGACCCTGCCGTTAGAGATGTCCCGATCCGATCACGTGATCGGGGATCGGAGCCGATCACGTGATTTTCAAAAGATCGGAATCGGGAGAAAAAAATCGGGAATCGGGAATTTTTTTTTTTTTTTTAATAATTTTATTTAATGTTACAAAACAAAAATGACCATGTTCACGTCTTAAAGTCATCCTGAGGCCTTAGTTTTGGTTTAAAATTACACAACATCATGTATGTGTTCTTCTTCTTTTGGGCTTGTTTTCATAGACCTGAGGCCTGTACTACGAAGCTGGATTTTCGCTTAGCCAGCTAACTTCAGGGAAATCTCGGGCTTTCCGGTCCTACGACGCTGGTTCTCTTTTTAGCAGGCTAGATTTCCATGGTAACTTATGCTGAGCGGTAAACCTGCTCCGGAGCAGGTTAGGTTGCAGGCTAAGAGATCAACTCAGTGAAAGCACCGCCTGCTGACCAATCAGAGCTCCGTGTGCGGAGTTTAAAGCGATCAATTCATATTACAGGATAGAGGAAATACAGAAAAACTGCCGTTGCAGGAAAGACGGCCGGCCAAAATCAACTGACTGTGTGAACGTGAAAATTAATAGAATATCCCCTCCCGTCTTCAGAGCAATCTGACTATTATAATATTAGCGTTAAGAAAGCTTACTTAAATATCTGCCACGACATAAGTAACCGGATCAGAGTAACATTAAGTACAGTCCGCGGCACTGTGAGTGCAGACGTCGATGTGTCCCATTATCATTCATATCATATCACATCATAATGTATCATATATTTCCTTATTTGAGTCAGCTTCTTGAGCCGTATCTGGCCGTGCAACACTCACAGTGTCACATACTGTATGCAGAAGTATTATTTTAAGCAACACATTAAGTTGACGAAACACTCGAGTCAAATGTAATTAAAGTCAGATCCACTCGTGTCTTGGACGGGGCAGTGATTTCATAAACCTGTTAATGTACGCATTCAAACACTTTTTCTTTTACCAGCTGTATTCACCTTGCAGGTGCAGCTATGTGGCTTTTATCCTGGATAAAGTGTTTAAGTCATGGATGTTTAAAGTTCAACTTCTTCATATTTGACTAATATTAAAGTTCACTTTTCATTCAGGAAGTATGACGCTACGCTGTCAGTACGCTTGTCCGTGTTTGAGATTGGTCGAATGCTCCAAATACCACCCCTTTCATGTGAACGCGCACCTAACTAGATAGGACACGGCTGGCTTGAGCGATCCACTTGATAACCAGCGTCGTAGTACAGTTTAGCCAGAGCGCGTATGTTTTGGATTGGGCCAACCGGCTAACTCAAACATATCCAGGTTAGGTTGAACCAGCTTCGTAGTACAGGCCTCTGGTTGCTTATTTCTCTCAAATCTGGCAACAGAGTGGGCAGGGTGCAGTGTCTAATAGTAGCAGTAAGCTAACAAGAGGCTACGTTCAGCTGGTGACTCGGGAGTCGGGACAGAGAAAATGTCAGGAGTTTGGAAGTATTATAAAATTGAAAGCGAAGGCAGTGTAACAGCCAGATGCAATGTTTGCAAGGCGGAGGTGCCGCGTGGTGGAAAGAACAGAGCTACGTTCAACACGACCAATCTAATACAAACACCAACAACAACACGACGAGTACACAGCGGCCACTCAGGTAACGGCACTGAAACAACCGACACTTTCAGAGACTTTTAAAAGGAAAGAGAAACTGCCCCAGAACAAAATAACAGCCAAGATAGCTGAATTCATCGCGTTGGATGACCAGCCGTTATCTGTTACCTTTTTTTTCTCTTAATGCATTGCATAAAGATCGGATCGGGAAAAATCGGTATCGGCAGATTGTCAAAATCAAATGATCGGAATCGGATCGGGAGCAAAAAAAGGTGATCGGGACATCCCTACCTGCCGTGTTATCTATGATTACTATACGCTTTTCATTCATAATTTCAGCGGGAGGGAGGGGGAGCGGTGCTGAGGAACAGCAGAGTGCGGGTTGACAGGTGCCTGTGTGGACATTCCCCTTATTGTGGAATAAGGGGAATGCAGACAGGCTACAAGTGTCTTAGGTTCAAGTTAGACAACTAATGTCTGGGTTTGTGTTGATGACTTCATGTTTATGTCATCTTAATGGTTAATCTTAATGCACACACATTTTCCGTGCTTTCCAATTGTTTAACACAGTTTTATTCCAGTGTTAAATAACCTGTTCAATACAAACATTCCACTTGTAAAAATTAAATAACATTTCTGTGAACTGATATTTGTTTAGTGAGCTTATTAGATGATGTTCCATAAAAGATTGTAAAATGTCAATGAAGATGTCAGACTTAGTATATTTGTTAATATTTGTGTGTGTGTGTGTGTTCCAAGTGAATCTGCGGCCCCCTGGTGACCAGTACATCACTTATGTGGCCCCCACCACCATCAAAGTTGCCCATCCCTGCTGTTAGACCCCAAGCCTTTTTTTCAGGTCTCAGGCTTGAAAATGACATTTCTAGAACAAATTACCATAACTATACTTCTAAAAGGGGAAAATTAATAATCTTTGTTCTCAAAGTAATGATAAACCTGTGAGTTGGATGTAGAAAAGTCAGAATCAATATAGATGTTTTTTATTTTAAAGAAAATTCAGATTTTACATAGTAAAAAACTGTAAATTATAGTGTCCGTCCAAAAATTCTTTTTTACTTATAGTGAAAACTACCCTTGGATGATGGGTTAGTAGACTAAAAGCTTTAGGAATCCAAAGTACAACATATAATAAGTACCCTGTATCAAGACTGATGCAAAACAAGTTACATTTGACCTTTTTAGAGAGATTTAGCAAAAAGAAAACACTTCTGGGGTCATTTGGGTGGATTTTCCATATCTCTGGCCCCCCTTGGTCGATTTCGACAAATGAAATCTCTTTATAACCGCTAGAGCCAATGGAATCGAAGGGGGGTTTTCACATAGACACCAACGTTAACACAAAAAGGTGGGGGCTTTGCGCATGTAGTTTTGCATGAGATTGAAGCTATCTCTCGCTCTGACATCTGGAAACGGAAAAGCAGGTTTATTGATTATGGATTATCAGAAATCATTTCAAAGGGACACAGACACATTGGATTAACCTATGTATTAACTTCCGCAGCTTTTTTATCATTTTAATACCATTGAAGACCAGTTTTGACCAGACAACAACCAAGGTAGGCCATGTTAGCGTTTTTAGCTACCTAGCGCCACATGTTTTGATGTCTGTTTTTGTTTATAACGTCGCGAGTGCTTATCATAGAGTGATAATGTATGTACCATACGATTCTGTGTCATCTCACGATGCGAATCGATGGGTTGGATGTGCAGAAAAGATAACTAATATGGGTTTTATGAGTGATTTTCTGTGCAGTAATCTGTTAGCATTTTTCGCTCGTTGCTAATTCAGAGGCTTTCAGTTAGCATTGTGGGTTTAAAAAAAAAAAGATCAGTTAGCTGAGTTTCTTCCCGTTACATGGACATAAAACATTCATAGTTTATTACATCTTAAGAAGACACTTTTGCTTGCAGATGTTGTGATTTCGGCCCCTTCGGCGGGTCCGTGGGGTTTAAGAGGTTAAGACACCCCAGATTCAAAGTGAATACAAACAAACCCTCACTTCAAAATGCTGGAGAGAATGCGCTGAGCAGAAACCAGACACATATATTCTGGGCCTGTGATGTGTTGGGAGACTTCTGGGAAACAGTTTGAAGAGAAATGTCCAATATCTTGTTCTCTCAACAAAAACCCATTGTCCCTATCACTGGGGAAACACCAGAGGAGATACAGAAAGATTCCTATCTATTTCTGGTCATTAGAAAAGCCATCATCAAACAAATGACAAGGAATTGTCTAAAAGATAATAACTTAGTAAACTCACAATGGAATAACTTAGTAAATGAAATCTATGTAACGGAGAAAACAACTAGATTAGAAACCAAATGCATGTCTTTGAGGAAAGGTGGGAGGAATGGGTCAGTGTAGAACAATATAGTGAATATAATTAATGTATACCTGAGTATTCATAATGTATCCATTCTTTTATTTGTACTATTATTAATACTATTATTTTATTATTCATTTTCTGATTTGTCATCTGTTATGTAGTTCATCTTGTACTTAGATGTGTTTATTTGGTTATGTATGCTTTGTGAATATTCTCTTAAAAAGCAAAAAAAAAAGCAAAGAAAGTAATAATAACATGTTTCTGTGATAACTGTAAGTCCTGCTGTGTGGTGTGATCACATGCTGAGAAACCTCTCAAGTCCTTCATGTGTTTGACATGTCGCCTCCATCACTCAATATGAAGAGAGGAACGCTTCAGTTTAACTATTATTATAAATAAATAGAAGAACAGTGTTGATTTATTTTGCTCTCTCAGTATTTAAACAGCAGAAATGTTATAGTGTTTATTTGAGTAATTAAACTCCTGATCCACATTAGTTTATCAAGTTAATCACATCTGGACTTACTTGAACTTCCTGCAGTTCCTCACAGCTGGAATCAGTCTCCATCGTCCCTCATATGATGTGTTGTACTTCCTCAGGTCCAACTCATCCAGAACCTCCTCTGACATCTGCAGCATGTAAGCCAGAGCAGAGCAGTGGATCTCAGAGAGTTCCTTCTCTGATCTGTTCTGTGACTTCAGGAACTCTGTGATCTCCTGATGTACTGAGTGGTCCTTCATCTCTGTCAGACAGTGGAAGATGTTGATGCTCCTGTCAGGAGAGAAATCAACACTGCTCATCTTCTTCAGGTTGTTGATGGCTCTCTGGATGGTTTCTGGTCTGTTGTCTGTGCGACCCAGCAGGCCTCCTAACAGTCTCTGGTTGGACTCCAGAGAGAGGCCGTGGAGAAAGCGGACAAACAGGTCCAGGTGGCCATTTTCACTTTCGAGGGATTTCTCCATGGCTCTCTTCAGGAAGACATCCAGGGACAGGTCATCATCACTCATATCATTGTCTTCGTCCCAGTCTCTCAGCAGGAAGTCCTCCAGTACCTCTGTGTCTCTGTTGGTGGAGAAGTGCAACACGTACACTGCAGCCAGAAACTCCTGAATGCTCAGATGAACAAAGCAGTAGACTGTTTTCTTGAAGATCACTCTCTCTCTTTTGAAGATCTGTGTACAAACTCCTGAGTGCACCAAGGCCTCGGTGACATCGAGACCACAGCGCTGCAGGTCTTCTTGGTAGAACATGATGTCTCCTTTCTCCAGATGTTCAAACGCCAGCCTCCCCAGCTTCAGAAGAAGCTCCCTGTCAGCCTCCGTCAGCTGCTGTGGACTCGTCTCATGTCCCTCTTCATACTTCTGCTTCTTCCTCTTGGTCTGGACCAGCAGGAAGTGTGAGTACATGTCAGTGAGGGTCTGGGGCAGCTCTCCTCTCTGGTCTGTAGTCAACATGTGGTCCAGAACTGCAGCAGTGATCCAGCAGAAGACTGGGATCATACACATGATGTGGAGGCTCCTGGAGCTCTTGATGTGAGAGATGATTCTGCTGGACAGGTCTTCATCACTCCATCTCCTCCTGAAGTACTCCTCCTTCTGGGCATCAGTGAAGCCTCGTACTTCTGTTACCCTGTCCACACACTCAGGAGGGATCTGATTGGCCGCTGCAGGTCTGGAAGTTATCCAGACGAGAGCCGAGGGAAGCAGCTTCCCCCTGATGAGGTTTGTCAGCAGCACGTTGACTGAGGACTGCTGAGAGACATCAGACACAACATCATTGTTTCTGAAGTCCAGAGAAAGTCTGCTTTCATCCAGGCCATCAAAGATGAGCAGCACTTTACAGACAGCCAGCTGCTCTGCTGTGACCTTCTGTAAGGTTGGATGGAAAACATGGAGCAGCCTGAGAAGACTGTACTGCTCACCTTTGATCAGGTTCAGCTCCCTGAAGGAGAGCGGGATCACCAGACTGACATCTTGGTTTTCCAAACCCTCGGCCCAGTCCAGAGTGAACTTCTGCACTGAGAAGGTTTTTCCAACTCCAGCGACTCCGTTGGTCAGGACCGCTCTGATGAGAGTCTGTTGGTCAGGTAAGGCTTTAAAGATGTCCTGGCACTTGATTGGAGTGTCATGGAGGGGCTTCTTCTTGGAAGCTGTCTCCAGCTGCCTCACCTCATGTTGGGTATTAACCTCTTCACTCTGACCTTGTGTGATGTAGAGCTCAGTGTAGATCCTGTTGAGGAGGGTTTCACTTTGATCAGTTCCTTCAGTCACACGTTCACATCTCCTCCTCAGACTGAGCCTATGTTCATCTAAAACCTCCTGCAGACCACTATCTGCTGAAAGAGAAGGAAACATGTGAGAACGAGGAAAATGCTCTGAGAATCTAATTATAACAATAAAACAACAAAAAACAGACTGAGTTGAAATGTTTTATAAACAGCTTACTGTCTATGCTCTACAACAGTATACCTGTTCAAAAACAAATGAACCAGGAAGAGGAATAAGACGCTGCATGAGTTCGGCCTCTTACCTCGTACAGAGCTGGTCTGACTGGCTGTCTGCAGTCCAGCTCTGGTTCTGGATCTTTCTCCACACTGGGGACAGTAGGGGTCTCCTGATGGAGGTCTCTGCTCCCAGTATGAGGTGATGCACTGTCTGCAGAACCAGTGTCCACAGCTGGTAGAGACTGGATCCTTCAGGATGTCCTGACACAGAGCACAGCTGGACAGCTGCTCCTCCACAGGAACACCACTCTTCCTCTTCCCTCTGTGGAGATGAACACATCCTTTACAGCACGTCACATTAGTGGAGCTGATTCTCACCAATGGGCAGAGCGTCACAAACGTCACTCTCAAGACTCTTCTTCTCCAGTAGGACTCAGATGAGGGTGTTGCACGTTTCCTTGTTCATGTGATGTTTTGGTGTTGTTGTTGTTGTTTTGTTTCTTTCCGTTAACTATCGAGTGGGAACTAAGTATTTTTGTTAGTAAGTGTTTGTGTTTCTCTTGTTATCCTACGATGCTGTGATGTGTGGCTGTGAATAAGAACATATGAAGGACAGACCATCTATTTCTATTTCTTTAGAAAGGGGCAGGTCATATCAGATTATTTTCTTCTCCCAGCTCCTTTTCGGTCAATGGTGTGTTCATAGAGACATGTTTTATAAATATTTGTTGTACATTAAGTTGTGCATACCATGAACGGAACAAATACAAATGAAATGAAATGAAAGATGAAATGTGTCACGCTGCACAAATACACAGCTGACATGAATTTCACCTCTTCACTTTCTTGGTGTTGCCAGGCACGGATCTGGGTCTTTGCATAGAGTGGCGAAGTCCCTTCCCTTCCGGTGGACCTCCATGGGACCTTATTTCGGAAAAATTATGTATTGAAGTCAATGGAGAGAGAAAGATTATCTTTCGATCCCGTTTGAATTGTGCCACGAATTACACATATGATGTTTGTCAATTTAAAAGATAAATTTACAAGTCAAAAAAAAAATATATATGTTGTAAAACTGTGAAGTAACACATTTGTTTGTGTGAAACGCTCAATAAACTACATCTCCGGTCTCGCACAATAACACACGTCACCAAGATGGCCGTCACTGCTGTCTTGTCAAAAAAAGGATTGACTACCCTCACTATGAATGTCATGCAAAGCTGCCTGCCTGCCTTCCTTTGATTCTCTCTGAACTGCCTGGTCTTTTTAATGTTTAATGTCAACCATTTGTGCAGATAGCATGAAGTGCAAAAGATCGCCGATGCTAATGTAGCGCTAGCCTTAGCCTTTCTCCCCTGGGCTTAAATTGTGTATTATAGAATGATCACACCGGTGTGACAGTACTCTTCAAAGGGTTCACGAAATATGACTACTACTCTTACTGTTTAACATTTTGGGTTACTTAATGTTACTTCATGTTAAGGCTAATAAAAATGACAAGGCTGTAATGCTAACTAACGTGCTAGCTACTAGCTATGTAGCTAACTTGATCAAGCCACTCCTGGTCCTTTCATCAGATGGGAAGCGAAAGAACGAGCAAGACCCATTGCTGGTATGATAACAACCTGGTACTAAGCACACAGGCATCTTGTTAAAGTTATCTTATCTTAGCCAGCGCCATATAGATAGATTATATCTATATGGTGCTGATCTTAGCTATCTCTTAGTGGAGGAAAACAATTGTGACATCACTTACGCGACTCTGGGATTTGTAGTCTTTCTAGTTGCGTATTTTTCATAGTCTTATATTTCAACAGTTTTACGACAAACTGTGACTTTTTTTACATGGAAATTATTTGTTAAGATTGACAAACATCATATGTGTAATTCATGGCACAATTCAAACGGGATCGAAAGATACGTTTTCTCTCTCCATTGACTTCAATGCATAATCTTTCCGAAATAAGGTCCCATGGACCGGAAGTAGATGGGCGTGACTTCGCCACTCTATTGACTCGACATGTAATCACACAACACTCTGTTATATCTGCTAATGCTAAACACAACCAGCTCACCAGGTTATCAATATTATTAATAAACATCTTTAAAATACATATCATAAACATGCCCAAGTAGTAAATAATGTTTTGGACGATATATTTAGTTTTTAGTGAGTATTTATCAATATCTTTGCCATTTAAAACCTTTTGATGCCACTGATACAATGATGCTATAAATGCATATTGAAATATCCTCAAATAATGTTAGCTTGCTGAACTCTGCTGCCTTTGTTCTGTACTATACTGCACACATGATATTATTAAAGAACAGTTTAATATACTAGATTATATAAGAACTGGATCCTCTTCAGGTCAGGTTACAGCAGAAACTAGGGCTGTGCAATTAATCGTATTTTAATCGCAATTACGATTTTGGCCTGCCACAATTACGAAAACAACATAATGGAAAAAAAGGATTATTTTGCTTTGCTTGGTTGTGACCGTGCACTGCAACATATTTGATCTAATTTATTTTAGTCTAATTTATTTGTATTTATCATATTTACATATGTTTAGTAGCTTGTTGAAGTGCGCTCCAAAATATTTGTTGATCTTGTTTATTGGTATTTATTATTTTGATATTATTTATTTAAATGTAAATATAAATGTATCATTTATTTTATTTATTTTTGTATTGGTTTTTCAGTTGAATTATACGTTCAGGGTAATCAACAGTTAAAAAGATACTGTTCAAATTATTATTTGTATTTGTTTTAAAGTTCAATAAATGGATGTTTTCAAAGTCAATGAATAATCATATTTAATAATCGTGATATCAATTATTGACCAAAAATAATCGTGATTATGATTTTTGCCATAATCGCACAGCCCTAGCAGAAACTCTTACTTTGTGTCTGAGGATCCAGGTTCATTACTGAAGTATATATGAGGTTGATCTTTAGACCAGTCACTCTTCAGAGACAGACAGCTGGGGACTGGAGACTCTGCTCTCTGTCTGTGGAAACAACACATGTTTTAAACATCATTAGTTCATTCAGAGAGCAGATTTTGACTTCTGTCTGTATGTAAGGCAAGGCAAGGCAAGGCAAGTTTATTTATATAGCACCTTTCAACACAAGGCAATTCAAAGTGCTTTACAAAAAATGAAAGACATTAAGAAAATGGCATTTAAAATCAGTCATTAAAAAGAAAAGATAATAAAATAAACATTAAAAGAAAAAATACATGGATAAAAGTTAAAAGTTACAGTGCAGTTTAAGATGTGAATAGTTCAATTAAAAGCAGCGGCAAAAAGAAAAGTCTTCAGCCTGGATTTAAAAGTAGTAAGAGTTGCAGCGGACCTGCAGGTTTCTGGGAGTTTGTTCCAGATATTTGGAGCATAATAACTGAACGCTGCTTTACCATGTTTAGTTTAGACTCTGGGGACAGAAAGCTGACCAGTCCCTGAATACCTGAGAGTTCTGGATGGTTCATAATTTAGCAGTAGGTCAGAAATTTATTTTGGGCCTAAACCATTCAAAGCTTTATAAACCAGCAGCAGTATTTTTGAAATCTATTCTTTGACACACAGGAAGCCAGTGTAAGGACTTCAGAACAGGAGTGATGTGATCCACTTTCTTAGTGTTAGTGAGGACTCGAGCAGCAGCGTTCTGAATCAGCTGAAGCTTTCGCATAGATTTTTTAGTGAGATCTGTGAAGACACCATTGCAGTAGTCGAGTCTACTAAAGCATGGACAAGTTTTTCCAAATCCTGCTGTGACATTAGTCTTTTAATCCTAGATATGTTCTTTAGGTGAAAGTAGGCAGATTTAGTAACTGTTTTAATGTGACTGTTGAAACTCAGGTCAGAGTCCATGACTACACCTAGATTTCTGGCTTTATCTGTTGTTTTGAACATTGCAGAGTGAAGCTCAGCGCTAACTTTTATACGTTCTGCCTTGGCTCCAAAAACCATTACCTCAATTTTATCTTTGTTTAATTGGAGAAAGATCTGACACATCCAGTCATTGATTTGTTCAATGCACTTACTCAGTGTTTGAATTGGAGCATAGCCTCCTGGTGAACTTGTTACGTAAATGTGTGTGTGTGTGTGTAAATTGTTGTGTAATGTCTATTTATACAGTTCATGCTCACTGCTTGTAGCACTCCGGGATTTGAAATCAAATATGAAGTGCTTTATAAATGGAACCCATTATTATTATTATTATTATTATTATCCGCATAGCTATGGTAACTTATTTTGTTGTTCTTCATTATCTGAGCCAGTGGTAGCATGTTAAAGAGAAGAGGCCCCAAGATGGATCCTTGAGGTACCCCACATGTCATATTTGTCAACTCAGATGTGTATTTACCTATAGAAACAAAGTTGTTTCTGTCCTTTACGTAGGATTCAAACCAATTTAGAACTGTTTCCGAAAGTCCCACCCAGTTTTCCAGTCGGTCTAGTAATATGTTGTGGTCAACAGTGTCAAACGCAGCACTGAGATCTAATAATACTAACACTGAAGTTCTGCCACTGTCTGTGTTTAAGTGGATGTCATTGAATACCTTTACAAGAGCAGTCTCAGTGCTGTGGTTTGGACGAAAGCCTGACTGGAACACATCGAGACAGTTATTTAAATGCAAGAAGTTACTCAACTGTTGAAAAACAACTTTTTCAATGATTTTACCTAGAAATGGCAGGTTTGATATAGGCCTGTAATTGTTCATTACTGAAGCATCTAGATTATTCTTTTTTAAGAGCGGTTTAATGACTGCAGTTTTGAGGGCCTGT